TTGTTAAGGAAGCCACACTGTCTGGCCTTTAAGACTTTGGCTGATTCAAATAGGGTCCCATTACTTAGGGCCACAGGTGGTGACAGATTTAAGACCAAAAGGCATCAGTTCTTTTTCTCAATTAATTTTATCTTCTTCTGTTCCATTCACCCTAAGTCATCCAATTAAGGTTATAATGTTATATAATTTTTGCTAAAAACCTTGTGTATGTATATATGCAGGCATATATACCGGGTGCGCCAAAAAAATGTATAAAAGTGGACACTTTGGTCAACATTGCTCAAGCAGTAGTTTGCCATAATCAGAAGTGTCTGGATGCTGATGGTAACCACTTTGAGCACCCGTTGTCATTGCAGAAGTCAAAGGTGACTTGTATTCCTCTTTTGTTATCGGTATATATTGAGCATGACAATTTTAATACAGTTTTCCTTTCTTAAAATGTATATACATTTTTTGGCACCTCTGGATAAAAACATATATGGTAATTTGTATGTATATAAAACATATTGATTTTATTCCCTATGTTAAGGATGTTATCTTAAAAAAAATAAATAAACTTATTCAAGAATAAGTTCAAAATTAACATGATGTTATTTCAGCATTTCAAGTATGTTCTTGAAAACTTCTTATGGCTCAGGAAAACTGAGACAATATTACACTTACTTCGATATATGTGCTTCTGTCCGTCTGAATGCGCTCTGAAGAATTAAAAAGTCCAAGCAGCCCATTGCTAATGACATCCATGAGGACAGGAAAGCAATTCAGCCTTCTGGTATTACATGCTATTGAAAATCTGTGATCCTAAAATGAAACAAACATTCATTCTAAGCCCTTCAGAAGCCAGTACAAAATTTAATGAAAGAATATGGTAGAAAATCATTCAAATTATTGACAATATGATAAGGCTAAAGCACTGGATGTGATTAATATCTCCATCACTAATATTATTTGATTAAGTCCCAGTATCCTGCAAGAAATCCAGTATTTTGGTCTTTACTCATCATGGCATCAGCCATGTGGCTATTTATGCTTAAACGCTCACAAAACGAAGTACCTCACATGATTTTTAGCAGTGACACTATAAAACTCCCTAATGCAACCTCCCTTTGAAATGGTAGCAGTCTTTTTCAAAAATTCAAAATGGGATACATTCATTTTATAACTAAAGAATGTGTGGACACTTGGAAAGCTCGAGGCAGGCAGTTAGTTAAAGAATCTCTAACTTAAATAGGTTGGAATCCCTTCCCCAATTCCCCAATAAAATCTTTAAAAAAAAAAAAAGCACATAAACGTAGAAAACCACAGGTGCTCAATAAGTTGCATTTATTATCATTACTGCTGTCAGGTTACTTTTCTTGGGAATGCCTTGGGTTTCCATGACAGAACATTCAGCTTTGAGTAGATCGAGGAACTGGCTGATTTAGAACTAGAAGCAATCCTCATTTAAAATCTAATTTTCCCGGCCTGCTCAGATCCTCTGAGTCAGAATCTCCCTGGGGAGGGGGAGGGCGTACCATTCTGTACCTTCCAGTCATCTCTTTCATATGCTTTTGTAACGAAAGCATAGGTTTTTCACAAATGCTGAACTTGCCATAGCAATGTTGCATGGGAAGTCTTTTTTCAAATGACATTTTAAAATCATTTCACAATGCAGAGATTCTGCAGTTCTAACAAGCTCCCAGGTGATCCAATGATACTGATTCATGAACCATACTTCGAGTTGCTGGAAACTAAGAATTTTTTTTTAACATCAGATAGTTGAGCATAAATATTTATCTAAAGATTTGACCCTTTTGTGTAAAGTTTAGCAGGTAGGACTTGAGCTTTTCCCCTATAAAAACCATAAAAAATCTACTGCAAAAAACTAAGAACTAATAATTTTTTGTGGTAACCAGAGCTGAAGTACCCAATAGGCATTAATCAGATTTATTTTTGGAGGATTCACCAAAATGCATCAGTTGGCTCAGTTGGTTAGAGCGTGTGCTCTGAGCAACAGGGTTGCTGGTTCGATTCCCACATGGACCAGTGAGCTGCGCCCTCCGCAACTAGATTGAAGACAACGACTTGAGCTGAGCTTCTGGAAAGCAGCTGGTGGGCAGCTGGATGGCTCAGTTGGTTAGAGTGCATGCTCTTAACAACAAAGTTGCCAGTTTGACTCCCACATGGGAGGGTGGGCTGCGCTCCCTGCAACTAGATTGAAAATGGTGACTGGACTTGAAGCTGAGCTGCACTCCCCACAACTAAGATTGAAGGACAACAACTTGACTTGGAGGTGATGGGTCTGAGAAAAACACACTTTTCCCCAATAAAGTTAAAAAAAATGTCATTTGAGCCATTTGAGAATAAGATTTAAATTAATGATTGGCATAGACTATAATGGCCAATAAGATTTAAATTCATTATTAATTATAGAGGTGCATGCAATGCAATAAGGAACAAAATTGAACAGTATTTCATTATATGCTGTTATATGGAGGCTGCAGGCAGCTTCTCCTCTAAAAACAAGAAATATGCCATCTGTTTGTGCCAAATTGACCTTTTACATCGGTTGACATGTATGACTCCAACTGCATGTTCATGCGCCATCTTTGGTGAGATGCAACAGTTGGAGCCCAACATACCTTGTCATCCCCTGACACGGTAATAGCACCATTGTATGACGGCTCGTTTGGGCCGTGTCTAGTTCCGAAGGCATCTACTTCCAAAGCTATGTTCTGTTTTCTCAGTGAATGTATAAAGTTTTCAATGCTTGACCCTACCATGAAGGTAAAGATCAAAAGAAGCAAAAATGAAGTAAAACAAAAGTCAAGCAATGTTAAAACAAAACAATAAAACAACAACTAAACGGGGTCACTCAAAGCATACCACAATGACTGTCTAAGGATGTCCCTAAAAAGGCAGAATGGATGCTGTAGTACTAAAATCCATTCTGATACCAAGGATAGGACATTGTTACTTTACCTAGAAGCTAAGCATTTACTTATAATTTCTGTTAGTGTAAAAATACTATTTAAAATTAACATTATAATCCTGGAAGATATTAATCTATTTTCTTAGAAATTTGGAACAGATTTGTTTTTTCCAGAGCCCAAGAATGCATAGTACTTCAAAAATGTTATGGAAAGACTGCAAAAACCAGTCAAGGATTTGCCTTCCTAAATCACTTTTGATTGCTTTGTACAATAAGCTTTAGGGTTTAAGTAAACTTACAAAATCTGTTTCTAAAACAAACTCCCCAGCCCTACATTTTTCTCATTTAATGAATTTTATGAATTTCCTGTTTGTCCTCATACATGCTTTCTAAAGCGTACAGAATTTATTTTTCCTTCATGGCTTATGTTGTCTGGAGAATCTCTCAATGAGAACAACAATTACAAGTTGCATGTTAGCCCATGTTCACCTGTTTTATTGATGAGCAGTAAATGGGTCAGAGGAGCGTGAGGCAGTTGTCCCGGTGAGAGGAAGTACATATTAGGAGACAGCCCCCAAGAAAAACTCTTCTTATACAGCTCATAGAATACATGTTCCAAAAACTGAGGGCAGAAGCTAACACCCAAAAGCAATAATCTGCATGGAGGAAGAGGTAAGAGAAAAGAATTCATGTATAGCAACTTTTGTAGGTTCTTACATTTGAGCAGATAATGGGTGTTATCATAGGAATAAATTATAAACACTAACCAAATATATGGAATCATGCTTTTTCTCCCCTTTTCTTCTTTCTAAAACGAGATGGTTCCTATGAAGCTATCCTTGGTCTTTCTATCTCTCTATATGCCTCCCACCACATTAAATATTTCATTGAAGCCTAGGAAATCCTCTGATTATGACGCTTAAATCTTTCTGTCCAGTGTCCACTACATTGCTCTGCCTCAGTCTTGCATTTCTTCCTTTTTGGGGACCACTGCAAGCTGGCATCTCACCAACGCCCAGACTTACTACACTCTGAAACTTTTCCCTCTCCTGTTCTCAATTTCTGTAAATTACATTTTCTCATTCACTTGGGCTCGGAAGCTCAATCATTTTACACTCATTTCTTTCCCATGCATTCCTTTCCCAAATGGTTGAAAATGTCTATCTATCATTTTATCATTATTATTTGCCTCCGCACCTTCTTCTCTCTTCTACTTTTCAAGTTTGGACTTTAATTATCTCTTTCCTGACCTCTTTCAATATTGTCCTAAATGACTGTTTTCCTTGTATCCAGTGTTTATTTCCAAACCATTTGCACTATTGCCCTATTATGTTTCTTGGCATTCTGTTCTAATTATATCAATTGCCTGTTCAAAATAAAAAATAAAACCTCAATAGTTCCTTATTATTCATAAGGTTCAATCTCTCTAGCTCTATGTACTATATTATCAAAATTACTTTTACTTTTCTGTGTGTGTACTCTATATTGCAATTAACTCAAATTGATAACAGTTTCCAAACTCCCCATGAGCTCTCCATGCTCAGAACTGCTTCCTCTGTCTGAATGTCCATCCTTCTCTCTTTCCTTAGCTAAATCTTCCATTTTCCTACACCAAATTTAAGCTCTCCTTCATGTAAAATCCTTTTCTGATACCCCTATTTGGACATAATCTCTCTTATACTGAATGCTATAGTTGGCAATGTTGTCTAATTTTGTACTAGGCTCTTTTAGTGTACGTCTAATCACCCTCAACAGCCGAATCTCAAGTCTGATTTATTTTTATAAGTGTTATAGACACTTACTAAGAGGGTTATGCAGAGGTACTCACAAATATTTTTGAATGACTAAGTGTCCTGAGTGGAGAGCAGGGTTTATGTGAGGAGGTATGACTCAGTGAAGAGCCTGAAGCTGTAGAGGACCATGTGGTTTGAACCACATAATAGGTTCCAGTGTCGTGAAACCTTGGCTAAGATACAACCTGGCACATAGGCAAGTCTCTGAGATGGGACCTAAGTGCTAATTTCCATGCTTCTGAAAAACCACTTCAACCCTTTGATAAGAGCATGTTCTGTGTGAAATTAAAAGAAAACCCTTATACTTTATCTGGTTTAATGACATACCCACCTAAGCAATGAAAAATTGGCTTCTTTGTTAAAAACACCATCTACAGTTGCTGGAATTTACTTTATCTGAGGTTGTGTTTTTTTTTTTTTCTTTTCTTGAATTTATTTTGAATGCACTGACCAAGCATATCTGGAACACTCAGATACTCACATGGTCATGAGAGTTTTTTTTTCATTCTTTAACTTTAGAAAGCGAACTTTCGCTATTGCACAGGTCTGCTGCCTCCAGAGAGCCAGGCCACTGGCTGCATTCTTTGTTTCATTAAAGGAAGACAAAAGTTGTTGCAGCTCAACAAGGCCTTCTGTGTCTTTTGTCCTATCACTTTGCAATTGTCCCCAAATTCCAATGTCTATAACACATAAAAATCAGTAATTTATAAAGTGCCATTTTAGATGTGCATTATTTAGCTTTTCCTATGATCATCTTTTCACCAAATGGTGTCAGAGTGGAGTTTTGGACAAAGATACAAGTATAGTAAAACCTTGGATTGCGAGTAACGTGGTTTGCAAGTGTTCCGCAAGATGAGCAAACATTTCTAATACATTTTAACTTGGTAAAAGAGTGATATCTTGCAATACGAGTAGTTAGTTTCCAGAATGAATTATGCTTGCAAACCAAGTGCATTTTAACGTGGTAAATGAGCGATGTCTTGCAATATGAGTAGTTTGTTTCCAGAACAAACTATGCTCACAAACCAAGGTATTACTGTAATCTAATTCATGGCTTTACTTGAGCAACTACTAGAGAAATGAAAATGAAGCAAAAAAAAAAAGATACACTACAAGAAGAAAAAATGATATAATTAAAGAAAATCTTCATGCTGAACACACAATGTGACATATAGGTGATGTATTATAGAAATGTACACTTGAAACGTACGTAAAATTACCAACCATTGTCACCCCAATACATTTAATTTAAGAAAATCTTGCATATCCTGAAAAAAAAAAGTTCTGTGTCTGCAACTTTAAAGGATTTAATTCATTCTAGGGAAATCAATAAAACAAAACAAAAACCCATATTTAGCCTAGAAAAATCTATTTGTTGTAAGAGATAAACTATCTTAGTATTTGTGACCCAAGTGGAAGAGTTAATACATATACATAACCCTCCTCTCCCCACCTCTAAAAATATGAAATTGATAGAGACAATTTTTTTTAATATAGCCATAGTTGAAAACAAGATAAAAGTTACTTTTTTGGAAGAGGAGCCTAGAGAAACTGATCAACTCTAGACTTTCAGAAAGTTATATGTACACTAAAAGTTAAGTGCAACCACTAAGAAAAGATAACTATATAACTTCAAGACTGGATAAAAGAAGGATTAAACAAAACGGATCAATCAGGAAAAAAACAGGAAATTAAAAAAAAGAAAATGGAAAAGCACAGTAAAGAGTAAACACAATAGGATGATAGTAAACCAGAAACAAGGAAATAGAGTAATTAGAAAAGGCAGAACGCTTTCCAAGGAATGACAACGAAACTGACAGAAAAATCTTTCAACAGCAATGATGGACTCCTGATATTGGAATCATATCCCCAATATACTACAAGAAAAGTAACTGTCCATCTACAGTTCTAATCCTCTTTTTTCTCTAGCTCTTATATTCAAGGAATATTATATTTCATATTTGTTTTCCGCTCCATGAGGACCTAGTCTTACACACTGCTATATTCCACATGCTTAGTAAAATGCATGGTACAAAATAAGGAATTCAAGATGGGAGACCCGCATTGAGAGAAAAAGGAAGGGAAACAGAAATACATTTCTATCTGCTCTACATTTTCCCCAAACCAGACTAAATCATTATACTCCAAAGCATATAATTTCACCATTCAAAGTATATTTTCAAAATAAAATATTGCACAGAAAGATAAAATTCAAATTTTTCTTTTCTTTTCTTTTTTTTTTTTTTACCTGAGTCATCAACAGTTGACTTGCCTTCTAATTTCAAGAACACCTCATTCAAAGTTGTCATGGAAACACCATAATCCTCAATGCCCTGTTTAGAACATTTATCAAGATCCCTGTAAAGGTCTAAAAGTAGACACAAAAATGCATCAAAATAATATAATTTGTAATGAGACTAACAATAACCATATTTTCCAAAAATAAATAACATTTGTGATAGACCAACTACATTATCAGAAACAAGGTTATGATATTCCCTTATTTGCAAAATAATCTATACAGTGTGTTAGTTTCCATGTCTTGTTGAGTATAAAGTTTTAAATGTTTATTTTTTCATTCTTAGAAACTATGTAAATAAGGAATTTTGAAATAAATTATTACATTTTATTTAATATGTTTTAAATTTTTAATTATTAGATTATAGGGAGTGTTATGGATGGACAGAAGTTCGGGCCAACCCAGAATTTATATGTTGAAATCTACCCCTAATGTGATGATATTAGGAGGTGGGGTCTCTGAGAGGTAATTAGGATTAGATGAAGTCCTGAGGGTGGAGCCTTCATAAATGGAATTAATGTATTTCTAAGAGTCACAAGAAAACTTGTTTTCTCTCTCTGCTCTCTGCCATGTGAGGCTAGAAGGAGAAGTCAGCAGTCTGCACCCTTGAAAAGATCCCTCGCAAGAGCTCAGTCATGACCTTTGCCTCCAGGACTGTGAGAAAAAAAGTGTTTGTAAGCCACCCACTCTATACTTATCTGTTATAACAGCCCAAACTGATTAAGATAAGAAATGTTTAATTCTAAACCCCCATGATTTAAGAAACATTTTCCAGAAATCAGAGATTTATGCTTTCATCTTAGGCATAATCGTTAGGCAATATAGTAACAAATGCAAAAGAACTAATGTTACTGTAAATCACTCTGTGGTCTCTACAATCTGTTACCTGGAAATTTGTTTGTTCTTTCCAAAGGCAAAGTATACACAAGCTTTTCGTCACTTTGTGCCGTTAATTTGGCATCTGGGATGTGCTGTTTAACAAGCGACGTTACATTGTCTGGCTCGCACATTTCATTCAGATGCAGACTAACATTTAAAGAGAGTAAATTAAAGTTATTTTTCTCTAACACTGTCTCTACAAACCATGGCAGTTTGTGCTTGTCACTTCATTAACATTTATGAGACAAAACATATATAATCTACTGCAAGAAGCAAGAGATAAAAACATTAATATAGTCCAAACTGTAATCTATAAAACCTGGCAGAGCAACTAGTGGAAGGGATGTTAGTGACAGATAAGGTGACTCAAGGATTGTTATTCGGAGAAAAGAGAGTTCGGCTAGATCTTGGCTGGGGTGACGTGGAGAGGAATGCCGGATTTCATCTCCATCTGTTCAATAACTCAACTTTGAATTCTTTCTCCCTTTGCAGGAAAGCACAAGTTCTGCAAACACCAGCGCTTGAACATGGTAAAAACAAAAATGGAGGTGATGTGATATAGTCATTAAGAACTTGGTTCTATTGACCTTCTGACCCATGTCCCAGAATGCAGGTTTAATGTCTCTCAGCATCAGTTTTCTCATCTGTGAGATCAAACAATACTAACCTCACAAAGAATTTCAAAATACAGAATAAAATATGTATGAGACAGCACATGGCCTTTCACCAGGTAAACCATCAATATATGAGTATGTTAGCTAATTTCATCTTTTTTTTTTTTTTGGTCCCAAATTTATTTAAGTCAAATAAATGCCTTCTTATGAGAACAATATAAAGTTCTTCATCAAATCATTGGGTTTTAGAAAGCCCATTATCAGTCACATGCATTGAAATTTACTGAGGCTACAGGATGATGAGGGCATCGTATCACAATTGACTTTGATGACACAAACCTAAAAAATCAATTTTAGAAGGAAAAGCTATTCTGTGTTTACAAGGCCCTGTGCTAAGCATTCTCCAGGACACCAAATAAGAAGAATACAGAATCTTTCCTAAAGAAGCTTGTAACAAAATATAATGTAAATATATGTGTGTGTATATATATATATATATGTGTGCGCGTGTGTGTGTGTGTGAGTGTGTGAGTGTGTGTGTGTGTGTGCATAATGGTATAATATAATGTAAATATAATATAAAGCAGCATATTGTGGAATAAGTGAGGGAGAGCAAAGTTGAGTTTAAATCAACTTTGCACACGTTCAATATTTTTAGTCTTAAGTGCAAAATAGGTATGATTAGTGCTATTTTATCAATGAAATTACTGGGGATCAAGGAAGTTGATTAAGTTGCTTAAGGCAACAATTCAAAATACTGCTTTCAGGTTCCAGAAGAACGGATGCTTTTTAAGGAGAAAACATTCAGGAAAGGCCTTCAAGAACGCATAAGATTTGAACATGGTTAAAATGGGTTGGAGGAGGACATGTCAAAGAGATGTCCTACCTCAAGCAGAGACAAGACACTAAGCTATGGAACAGGCCTAGAGAGCACTGAGTGGTTCCTTTCAGGTACTGATTCCATCAGGTTGTATCAAACAATCATGGTGGAATGGTAGGTTTGATCAGGTTAAACACTTGGAGTAAATAATGGGGGGATTCATTTAACCACTGGAGATAAAGTGATTTGCATCATTTTTAAGGAATATTAATATTTTAGTGGGAAATACAGGGAGGGATTCATCCTGTGTCTGTAATCTTGGTCCAAAGGTTCTACCACTTATAAATGGTGTGAGATTGGGCAGATTATTAAAACTCTCTGCCATGTCAAAGGAGGATAATAATACCATCTTGTTAGAGTTATTGGGAGGATTATTACTTGAGTATATGATTATATGAGTATTCCATACGTCAGTATCTTAGCAAGTACCTAACACATAGCCAGCACTTACTAAGTGACAGACATTACTTAATAATGATAATAAACTATGCTCTTGGAAAGAAGGAGACAGAAAAGAATGAAGGGGGCAATGAATTCAGGGAGAACAGAGAGGAGGCTATTGAAATTGTCAAGATAAACCAAAATAAGCATCCGAATTGTGATAAGAGGGAGGGCTGAAATAGCAATAGACTTCTCATAGCAAACAAGGTGTTGTGAAAATATTTTCCACAAGTTCTATTTAAACATAGCGTCATCATCCTTATATTCTTAATGTCTACAACCCCACATATCCTTCATTCTACCTAAGAGAGAGAGAGAGCAGTTGTGCTGTAGCTCTAACAGAGCTCTCTTGAAATGACTCACTAATGGCGAAGCCTCCTCTAACACACTACTACTGATGCCACTTGTCCTCAACATTCCCAACATGCTCTAACATGGCTGCAACGATAAGGGTCATACCTCAAGTGGTAGCCAATGCCCCATTTCTTCTTCAGGAATAGGGAAGAGCCTGCACACTTCAGCTTCCCATTGGATATAAACACCTTCCGATCTAAGTAGAAAAATGCCAAAAAAACAAATTGCATTAAGAACTTTTTTTTCTTCACTCTTTCTAAAAGAAGAAACCCATGAATAAGTAATGGTTTCTAGGAGCATGGCCCACTAAAACAGATGCATTTGAAGTCTGATCAAAGGTAAGTCACTTTCTTTGTCATCCAATGACTACAATATTTGTAAGTTTATTCTCTAGTATATTTCGAAAAATTATCACACCTTGAAAGGGTCTATTTCAAGCTAACTGACATTCGTATTGAACAAAACACAATATATCTTTGAGAATATGGTGGGTATTTTATAACCGATGAGCTGCTTTGCCTTAGATTGGAACACTTCCAAGGGACAATGTACTCAGGGATGGAGGAACTTAAATGGGTGAGAGAAAACTTTTCCTGTTTGGCTCACAGCTGTCACACACAAGGCAGTTGAGTTGGAATGCATCTATACATAGTCCATGCATGTCCTTATTTTCTCCCTAAGATGCGTGAAAGAAAACCAAGAATCACCAGCCAGGATGTCAGCCTCATCCATGAACTGGGTACTGAAGAGGATCACTCTGTCTGACTTCCTCTCTTTCAGAAGGTTCCACACACGATGCCTTGAAAGAGGGTCTGATCCAGCAGTTGGTTCATCCAGTAGCAAGATCTGCACAGTAGGAAAGCACAGAAAATCGTTTCCCCTTTCAGGAAGGATTCTTTTAAAAAGCAACATACTGGTACTTTCAGAAATAGCTAGAGAAATATCTTAGTACTTAATTTCTCATGGTAACTGTTCTCTGACATTTATCATTTGCAAATTAAGTCTGATCCAATACAATTGTTTTGCAATCCTCAATCTGATGTCACCAGTAATTTTAGTCCCGTTTACCTGAGGATCTCCTAAAATGGCAATCCCGAAAGTTAGTTTCCTTTTCTGTCCGCCGCTTAAATTCTGAGCAACGGTGTCTTGAACAGTATCCATCTCCAAGTCCTGTAAAATTCTTTGTACCTAACCACATAAAAGGTATTTAGTCCCAAACCCAGAATGTTTATTTTAAAAACACTATCATCTTGCTGTTCATTCCAAAGGGCCTTGTTGCCCTTTAGACACAAGAATTGTGTAGAAATAAAGCAAATGCATTTAGAACTTTCTAGGTAAACAATTTCATTTTCATGGTTGTGTGTCATCTAACATGTCCACCTACCTCTTCCTCCACTTCCTGTGGCTGAATCCCTTTTATTTTAGCAAACAGCCTGAGGTTTTCTCTCACAGTGAGGAAGCCAAACTGCACATTGGATTGTGGACAAACTCCGGTAAGCTTGCTGACAGTTTCCAAGTTAGTCATTTCCGAAAGTGAGTGATTATAGATGGTGACCGAACCTAAAAGTAGGAGGTAAGAGAGTTAGCATCAGGATCAAGTTCCGTGCTTTATTTAAGATTTTTTTAAAAAGTAAAGTTAAAAAAAAAGATATTTTGAAATGAATAACAATGTGTGTCAATCACTAGAGACCTTTAAAGATATTGTACCTGTAAGGAATACACTAGTGACTAATTACAAATTTAATGTACACAATCCATCTGATCCAGCTGGAATGCCAATTAATAAGCATAAAGCTACTTATCCAGAAATATTTAAACCACAAAGGTTTTCCTAAATAAATAGAACATGAATCTATGAAAGAATGATTTAAAGGAACGTCTAAAACTTTTAAATACACAAGTGTGACTAGTAGTTAATGAAACTGCTAACTACTGAAATTAACAAAACTAATTAACTAATGAAATGCCCAGTGAGTTCATTTGTCCATGTTCCTGCCACTGGATAATTATCTCCTCACCTGATGTTGGGACTGACAGTCCACTGAGCATATTTAACAGGGTCGTTTTCCCAGCTCCACTGTGACCAAGGAGGGCAGTAATCTGGCCTTCATATATGTCAAATACCAGACCTGGTGTTATTTAAAAAAAAAAAATTACACTGAGGGCCTAGATAGCAGCTTTACATTCTATGAAATTTGTGTAAGTACTTCTAGCATGGGTATATTTGGCTAGCAATATTCCAAGTAAAAGTCATCCCCAAATTCTTTCCTTTAAAATATATCTTCTATGATACATATTTTACAGATGTAGCATTTCCATGATATATTATTATGTGATTAACAATGTTTTGGGATCAAACCAGTTTTGTTATTAAAGATAGGCTGACTACCAGAAAGAAAGCTGATTAGAAAATGTGATGAGTTGAAAAGAAACTATCATGGTGCTATCACACATCTTTCAAACCCATAGATATCAGTGGTGCATCTGACTTTCTAAAATTGTGATATGGTTTTGCATTTGCTTGGAAAGAAACGTAATGTGTTCCAATAAAGGGGAGTCATGCTACCTGGAATATATGCTCTGAATCTTTACCAAGACAGTGTAACAGTGAGACACAGTCTCTAAATCAAACAGCCATGTTAAATAAGGTATTTTATTACCTTTCAAAGCTTCTACTTTTTCATGCTTTCCTGTTTTATATTCCTTTTTAAGATTTTTTATTCTGAAAAAAAGAGGAAAATGTTTTGCCCGATAGATCTCTGGTCTCTGACCTGTTTTCCACTGGCACCTCCCCATAATTTATTGATTACCTGATGGCTTCTTTTCCATGGAATTCTGGGGACACTGGTTCAAAAGAGTCATTAGATGAAGGATCAACATCTATTTCGTTCTCAAGGGCCACGTGGTCAGTCCTTTGATGTTGAAACCAAAAAGAGGATTTCAGAAAAAACCAGGGAGTCCGCCGATGTCCATATTCAGCTACATGACCAGGAGGCAATTAAACGTTGGGTCAGTCACTGCTTTCAGGGTACCAGTCACCACAGCACTAGCATTCTCCACCTAGTTCTGATACCAGCACTAACAAGATAATTAAGCCTTAAGCTCTTGCAAGTGTCTCTTGTTAAAAAGAAAATCTGAAGTGTGATGGTAGAACAAGAGCTTAGAAAGTTACTGTATAAACAGTGCACAATACTACCATTAGGTTTATTCTAGAAATTTTGGAAAAAAAATGCTCACTAAATTATATTCAATACATTGCAGACAGTTCCTTTAAAGAAATCCAATGAATGAAATTGTGCTGAGTCACAATCATGTTACTACTTACTGGGCAAAATTTTGTCAAAATACAGTGTCAATACCAAATAGAGAAGCGTATCAAACACCAACATGAAAAGAGTAGCTATTATTAGGTTTGGGTTGTTTGAAGAATCCATATGGATGTTAGTATTCACGTCATGGTCCACATGTAGAAGCTGTAAAAAAGATACATCCACTGAATTTCCAAAGGACAAATAGAGCATCAAGAATTATTGTCTTATTTCTGCTAGACACTGGGATTAAAAAGATAAAACATAATTCCTGTCTTTATAGAGCTCTCATCTATTGAAAGATGTAACAAATGAAACCATTTAACTTCAAAGCAATTTGGGAAGTTAATGGAGGTAGGTATCAAGGGCTTAGAGACCCACTGGCAGCAGCAGGCAAGCCCCACAGGCAGAAGGAAAAACTCAAGGAAGGTGATATTTAAGCTGGGCTGCCATTAGGATTGCATTGGGCTTAGGCTGTGGGAAAAGGAGAGCATTATAAACAGGGGACGGGGTTTGAAAGTAAAAACATTGGAGGGGTGAAAGCGCTTCAGTGGTTGGACAGACAGCAGCAGAATAATTACTTAGCATAGGAAGATAAAACGAGTTTATATGTAACATGACCTTTTTTTTTAGCATTTATAGTTAGGATGTCATAATTAGAATTAAATTTTCTGAGAGGAGGTTCAGCTCCATTATAATGGGCCAATCAAAAAATAAAAATGTATCTCTATAGAATTCCTGGTTTTCAAATACTTGCGATAATATTGAGGGTCATGTTTCCTGAGCATTAAATTAGATAAGTCTTCACTGGGACAGCAGCCTGTTAAAAGTAAAAGCTAAACCACATCAGTAGTGGAATATTATTAGCCTTTAGTTAGTGATCAAAAGGAAAATTAATTATGCTGAGAGAGAAGAATAAAGACATACGTCTCCTATCCCTTCATCATGTACCTTGACAAAGGAGGATAACAATTTTAATGCTCAGCACACATAGCATGAATTATTCAGAGGGAATCGGTTGTAAAATTTTTATGGAAAAGAAAATGAAATAGTTACATTAACTCTTACCTGGGCCATTCCAGCAGTGAACGCAAAAGGGCTGAGAAGACATAAGGTCCACTCCAGAAAGGCAGGAAGGTGTCTGTACAAGGCGGTGAATCCCAGACTCCCCCAAAAGACAGTGAGGAGAAAGACGACCAAGCCAGTAAGGAAAGGTTTCTTGACCAACACACTCATCAGGAAAGCTAAAGTTATCTGAGAGAAGAGAGAAACTTCAGGTGGTATATAATTCTCTGAGAAGCATCAGTAGCATAAAACAATTTCACAGTACAAAGTATACTTCATCCATTTCCCCCCACCCCGAGATACTGTCTCATGCAAATACTCAAATACTACAAACAGAACAGAACAGGTGTGATCAGAATCCGTGCTAGATGGCTGGTAGGTTTCTCTGACAATGAGGAGAGGCAGGGAGGGTGGGAGGGAGGGAGGGAGAGAAGGAAAGGCGAGAGAGACTAACCAAATTCGCCAACTCACCAAAGACAGGCCATAGAGGAGAAAGAGGGTGAAGACCAGCACAGAGCCAGTTAGGACGACAATGTGGGTGTGTTTTACAATAAGAGCCATCAGAGTAGCCATAGTAAAGATGAAGCCGCCATACATCAAACCCCAGGAGAGCCTGGCATAGAAACAAAGCATCAGTTCAGGGTGCTGTTCCTTCATCACTTCACCCATGCATTTATTCAGCTTATCATACACCAAGAGTAAAGGGAATACAACAGCTAATAAACCCAAAAACTTCTCTGCCCCTCAAGTTCATATTCTACGCGGGGTGGAGGGGGGAGCAGGTGATAAACAAGAAACTGGGTGATAAAATGAGAGGAATTGGAAGAGGTCTTCAGGGAAGATATTTATGAGCATTTGTCAGTTCTAGACTTCTTGCAGTAAAGTCATTGCATAAATACCAGGGACAAAAAGTAGACGATAAAGCAGGGATCAGCAAACTTTTCCTCTGAAGATCGAGATAGGAAATATTTTAGGCTTTTTGGACCACACAGTCTCTGTTGCAGCCACTCAACGCTGCCTTTGTAGCACAAAAATAGTCACAGACAACATACAAAGGATGAGGGTGGCTGGGTTCCAATAACAATTCATTCGTGGACACTGAAATTTGAATTTTATATAAATTTTTGTGTGCCATGAAATATAATTGTTCTTTCGATTTCTTTCAAGCATTTAAAAATGTATAAGCCCTTCCTAGTTTGCAGATTGTAAAAAAAAAAAGGATCATAATTTGCCAACCTCTGCTCCAGATGAGATAGAGAAACAGATATACACATAGGCTTAGGGCATAGATAGATACAGCTATATAGATGGATATGAAGACCGGTTATTTCTTGCTATCAATGCCAAAGAAACAGGAAGAAAGTCCTTTGTAGGGGAAAGAATAAGCTATCCAACCAAACAAATCTAGGTTCAAGTTTTCTGTGCTAAATTGTACCTATATGATCCTGAAAGGTAGTTACTTGATCTATTTAAACCTTATCCTCTGCTGAAAAATAACAGAATTAAATGAGATATTGCAATTATGGGTTTAATATGGCGCCTGGTCCATAATGGGTCGACAATGAAAACTTAGTTTACTTTTATTCAAAGTAGAAAATGCTGTCATGTTTTGGGAAGTTTTGCCTAATTATGATGATTCCCTTTATACAATATACTTCTGTTTATCTGAAATTGTTCACCATTCTGCCCTCTATAAAGCTATCCTTAATTTCGTTCATTTGTGTGCCATACAAATAAAATGTCACAGCCTTTTCTAACTCTTTCTTACCCTTTTCTTACTCTTATGGGGAAAAGTTCTGATCTTTTTAACCCTTCCTCATCAGATTTATTTGGTTTCTCTCTTTTAAAAAATCATATTAGTTACTTTTCTCTGACTCACTGTAGATTTCCATGGGTTTTTTTTTAAATACAGTGACCAAAATTTCCTTCAGTATTGACTTACACAATTTGAATACAAAAAGAAACACCAAAAAAACCCCACAAAAAAACAAACAAAAAAACACACTCCCATTCTAGACCAAACCAGCAATCCATTTTCTCTACTTTTGCACTCAGTACATTGAAGATTTATGGGGGGAAAATAAATAAATTTGGTGTAAATTGGCATCATTAAAAATATGTAGTCTTCCTACTCAGCGTTATCTAAAGTTCTTTTGAAGACTACCTGGCATATATCTAGAACTATTCTATATATTCTACAAATCTTGTTTAACACTGAGAATCTCACGGTGTGTAAAAGGCAAATTCAAACCACTGCTTTCTGACTCCAGAACTTATGCTTTTACTAACTATGTTTCAAAAACATCTTTTGGCTAAACTCATTTTAAATACTGTTGCTAATTAGGATTCAGTCCTTGGTTTCCTAAGTTGCATTTCTCAGACCACACTACTTCCCAAAACTGAGTGCTGCCTAACAGTGAGTTTAATTTTCCTTAAGCTCCGTGTAAAGCACATTAAGTACACTTCCTTCTTTAATCCATATGTCCAGTAAGAGGTAGATATTATCAATGTTTCACAGGAAAGAAAACTGAGGTTTAAAGAGGTTAAGTAACTTGTTCCAGGTGGTAATGCTCAGATGGAGATGACCCCTGACTTCCTGCCTCCCAAGCCTGCTACACCTCCACGAAAGAAAAGTCTATGTGTAAAGAGCGTAACAGTTTTTTTTCCCCTTCAATGTCATAAAAGTAATAATTCGTTCAATATGGGGTCAAAGTCAATCACCCTTTTTAATCAAACATCTGAAACATATTTCATCAAACATTAGAAACCTCAAGTTTACATATATACATATACATATACATATATATACCAGGGGTGCCAAAAAAATGTATACAAGTGGACACTTTGGTCAACATTGCTCAAGCAGTAGTTCGCCGTAGTCAGAAGTGTCTGGACACTGATGATAACCACTTTGAGCACCTCTTGTAATTGCAGAAGTTAAATGTGACTTGTATTCATCTTTTGGTATCAGTATATATTGAGCATTACAATTTTAATAGTTTTTTCCTTTCTTAAGATGTGTGTACATTTTTTTGGCACCCTCTGTATAAATATTTTTTTCGCCCATATATGGTAACTAATGACTTAGAGTCATTATTTGTATCCATTAGTGATCTGGGTTTCAGCAAGCTATAGAAGTAGACTTCCTTTAATTTAATGAAGTATGAACAGTTTCATTTACCAAGCCTATAAGTCTTTCTACCTTATTCATTTATAATATACTACTTTATGAAAGCATCAAGTTTAAATATGATACTTTATAGGTCTAAGGAGTCCAACCAACTAGTTCTGTTTATGTATGCTACATGACAGATTGTAACCATGTCATTTACCAGAATGCTGACTCTTGAAGTCCCATCACTATCATCAATGACTTCATGTATTGTCTTTCTTGTGTAACATTGACTGACATATAGTATATGAATGCAGAAAAGGACAAAATGCAAAAGAAAATGGAGAAATCAGTCTTAACTCCTGCTTGGGCAACAAAAGGTAGTATCTTCATATTTATACCAGTAACTGACATGAGGTCTTCCATCACTGAATGGTTTGTTGTGATCTGAAGAAAGATATCAAGGAACAAATTGTTATTATTAAGCTAATTATAACCTCCTGTGTTTTCTCTCAATTATAAGAAATTACGTGCCTTCTACCTTTCAATAAAATTGCCCGTTTCTACTTATAGATCTGTCCCCTTGTAGTTCCTGGCACACTCCAGTTTTTGTCTGGACATCTTAGCACATCCTTACATACCAGCTTCACTGGATAAAATTCTACTCAACCTTGAAGTCCCAGCTGAAATGTCACTTCTGTTAGTAGGTCTTCTCTGATCTTTCTCATCAGAGTATGTTCAGAGAACATCGAAGCATGTTCATTGTTTGCCTAGCACACCATTTATAATGCCATGGCAGACCCTAAACTCCTATTATGACTATCTATCCATTTATCTCCTCCCACCATCCACTATCCCTAGAAAAGAGGGCCTGTGTCCTACTTACTTCCCGATCCTCAGTGTTTAGCGTAATGGTGTAACTACCGTCATGCGCTGCATAATGACAGTTCCGTCAACGACGGACTGCATAAGATTATAGTGGAACTGAAAAATTCCTATGGCCGAGTGACACTGTAGCCATCATAACATCATAGTGCCTAAGCGGTGCATGACTGCAGAGCAGCTGTTCAGTGCACTGCACCAAATAAATTAAGCGGATAAATTAATTCTATGACAAGATGGGACAATTCATCAGATAACCATCCATCAAAATTTAATTTACAATACAATGTGCTCCTTTCACTGAATACTCACTTCTATGATAGCGGCATTTATGGCAGCTTGAAAAGCTACAAAGCCCCTCTCCCAGAACACCGAAGCTTCACATGTGACTTTCTCATTCTCCATTTCACAATGAGCTTTAGTAAAAGAAGAATGCAACATAAACAACATAAACAATTATGATGGGGTGGGGCCATCTTGGTTTTGGAAAAACGGAAATGTCAACTGTCCCAAAATGCACTCCACATCTCCGATCACACAGTGTATAGAAAGGCTTATCTCAGGTGAGGCTTATCTCAGTGTATAGAAAGTACATATCTCAGTGTATAGAAAGTACATATCTCAGGTGAGGTATGTATGAAGAACGCCCCGGCGTTGCTTTGTTAATATGAAGCCCAGTTCTTAATAACTTTTCATTCAATCTCATAATTCTCTCCCCTAGCCAAGAATGTTTTGTTGAGCTTTGCTCCTCTGTTGCTCATGAAAAAGAAGCACTAACATTTTTAAATGTTTGAGAATCATTGAGCAAGAGCCTTTTCTTGGAGCTTCATTTAGGAGTAACACAGGAATACAGTCATGGGCCCCATAACGACATTTGAGTCCATGTTGGGCCACAGATAATAGAGCTGAAAAATTCCTATCACCTCAGGACATCGTAGCTGCCATAACATTGTAGCTCAACACATTTCTCAGGAGTCGGTGGTGATGCTGGTGTAAACAAACCTACTGCACTACCAGTCATATAAAAGTGTGTAGCACATGCAATTATGTACAGTACATGATACTTGATAATGATAATAAATGACTATATTGCCAGTTTATGTATTTACTATACTATACATTTTATCATTATTTTAGAGTACATTCTTTCTACCTATACATAAAAAGCTTGCTGTAAAACAGTATGCTGTGTCACTCCAGAAGTAGCCTCATACATCTTGTGTTTATCGCATCTTTTAATTGCATCGTTTTCTCTTGTGCTTGATTTAATCGCGTGCCATTTTGTGCAGTCACACGCTGTACAGGCTTGTAGCCAAGTAGGAGCTGTAGGCTGTACCGCAGAACCTAGGTGTGCAGGAGGCTAACCCACCCAGGTTTGTGTACTTTGTGACATTTGCACAACAATGAAATCACCTAACGATGCATTTCTCAGAATGTATCTCAGTCGTGAAGCAGCGCGTGACTGTAATATCAATAGAATTTCTTAATAGAACAATATATGGGTACTTAAGAACATAGGCTTTATTTAATAAGAATGACTCTCATTATGTTCAGAAATTAAAAGTACGTGTATGTTGTGGATACTTCGGCTATCACATACACTCCCTCCTGACTAATAACATAATAGCAACACATCTTTTTTTTCCTAATAAGAGAGTTACCTGAATGGTCTCTGTGTTCCTTCATGCCGGGGATTCTACTTCCCCAGGAAAACTTCAAATGATATGAGAAGTTATCATTAAAGATGACTCTCACTACATCTACAGAATAGTTAAAATGCAATTCATTCATGCTTTTTTCATCAGGCCTACCCACGATTGTTCTTCCTGTCGTGTGAAAAAAAGAGAATAGCTATGTAAGAAGATTTCTATGTGGTTCAAAGACAGCATACCATATTCAATTATGTTAAAGCTACTTTATGTTATATTTCATTAAGAGATTCACATGGTGGGGGGGGAGATTGTAAAGCTCTAGACAAAATCAGAAATATCATGTGGCAATCACTTTTATCACAAATAGATAGTGCTTTTCCAAATAAACTATTTAACCAATAATTTAAAGCACAATGGATTTGGAATAATAACAATACCAATGCATACATTTAAACTCATGTACATATAGACCTATCTAAAGTTGAAACATATGCTACAACACATTATTCCATTTGACAATGGTGTCAGCGTGGCCAAGCTCCAGGGACAGGATAAAATTGTTAAATTTTAGGAGTGTTTTCTCAAGAGACTTTGTTTAGTCTAAAATATATAATGTAAGTGAATGACTCTTACTGATCAAACCCCGGCCGTTTAACCCACAGTACGGATTGTGTTGAATGCATACTCCTGGTACAATTCAACATGTTTCCTTGTCCTCTGTGTCCTGCCATCTGGCAGCTGGATCCAGAGGTTTAGTCAGACTCAGGTCCAATCCATTTGGCAAGACTGTAGGTGATGGTGTGTTCTTTCATTGGAGTGTCACCATTTTTGATTGTCTTATTTTTTGCGATATTGGCAGCCACTGACACTCAACACCTACATCCATTGATTCATTGGGAGCTTCAAAATGGTGATGTTCTATTGCCATCCTTTGCTTTTCATTTATTAGTAGAAACTTTATAAAACAGTACTTTCCATCGTCTGATTGGTTATCCAATAGTACAGCTCATATAGGATAAATGCTGCTATTTCCTCTTTATTTACAACTTTTCATAAGAACTGATTTTCTATCATCCTCTGAGGGCAAGCATTTTTTTTTCAATATCACTATGAAAGCATAGATTTAAATACACACTGGATGAGTTATAAATCATTGCATTGAATATTCTTGTTGAAGCTCCACATATGTCAACTTTGACCCTGGACAGTCTCTCCAAGTTGACTGCTGAGTCTTTTTGACACAACCTATTCTCGATGGCTTCCTAGCTATCTGGAATGACAAGATTTCTCCCCCTGTAAATTTCCCGTATCTCCTGTACCTCCTTTCTTCCTCTTTGAGACTCCTGTGTTTCAAGGACACAGGGGTGAGAGGGTAGACCATTCCATAATTACTTATTTGGTATATCCCACACTTTACACAGATACCAGTCTGGGATTGATATTCCAGGATGATGCCACCCATCCAGTTACTGAAATGGTTTCGCCTGTGTTCATATTGGCCCTCTCTGCTTTGCAGTGGCTACTGGCTTCCTCTTAAGGGCTTCTCATTCTCTTTGCAGGCCCATCACTACCTCCGAGAGAGAGGTGCCATGCAAGCCTTGCGGTTGTTAGTGCTTCTTCACTCATTTATATTCTAGGGTTTAAGGAAACACCTTGTCATCTATTTTTGTTGTACATATTGCACGTGGTTGCTTGGTTCTGCTGTTTAATTTCTCTTACAATTTTTATGTGCGTATTTGAAGAGATTAAAAAACCATGCTGTCACCATTGTCCAATGTTTTCAAAAACCTCTCACAAATATACACTTGAATAATCCTGGACTACCTCATTTTAATATGGACTATAAAAAGTATAACCATTTTAACACGAAATTTCCTAAATAGGAGACTAGTAAGAAAATCTCCTTGGTATTGGAAAGGAGTATGCATTAATGTTGTTCATTAAATCTAGAAACTTAAACATTTAACACAGTTTATCAGGACATTTCAAAATGAATTTATGAGGTTTGCCAAAAAGGAAATTACCATGAATTGCCAGAGAACATACCTTTCATGAATGGGGCTGACGCCACTTTGTTCATTATCGCCTGGGTTGTTTTGGATTCGGGTGCAAAGGCAATCATATAATTAGAATCATTAAAATTATCGACGCGTCCCAGATCCATGGCAGGCATTTGAGGAAAGTCACTATTTTGATACATATCGAAGGATAATAGGTATGCAAATAATGCTAGAAGAAGTGAGAAAAGCCATTCCTGCACAGCAATGAGAGAAAAAATGAAGCAAATCAATAGCTGCTTATCCACAGATTAATTATCCATAAACAATGTAAAACACAATTCTCTTATGTAGCTTGCATTTCATTTTTCCCTGTCTCCAGGTTTTAAATGTCTCAATTTTCTTTTGTCCTTTAATATGCACATCATCCAACAAGACAGAGTGGTAGCATCAATGCAAACTATAACTAAGAATCTAAGTTTGTCATAGTTTAATGCAAATGTTGAGGCTGGATTGGTTCATGAACGGCCCAGTGGTTTACAGTCATGTTGAAACCTGAGTGACAATGATAGAGAACTGTTAGATGGCGTGAAATAGATAACCAACTTTCATCAACAGGGCCAAGGTCATATTTTTATGTTCTGCTGCCTGTCAGTGGAAGGAGCTAGTCCCAAAATATGGCTTGTAAGAAGAATGTTAAGTCTTTGTCATGGCAACAACATTCTGGAATTGCCAATGCAACAGAATGTACATGGAGTCCAGTGATAAGAACACACCTTAGTACTCAAGCTTTAACTCTAAACATACGGCCTTTAAAAAGGGTATATATCTTATTCACCATATGGTCTTATTTTAGCTATGTGTGTTGGTCTGTATCTATACCTAATCTACCTAGTTAGATACATAAATGAACAGATACAATACTTAGATAAAAAAGAATTTAAATGATGGTAGCAAAACATCCATATAGAGTAGAATATAACTTTTATATTTATATTTATATAGTCCTTACTCATGCAGGGATTTCTGTAGACCTATTCCTGCCAATCTAAGCATTCAATACACATTTGTTGAACACACACACACACAAACACAATGTTCTTAAAATTGAATGTTAATATCTCAACCCTTGAACTATGGGTATTTTATGAGTGATTTTAACTTATTTATTATATTTTTCTGAATTACCTGAATTTTCTACACAAAGCTTACTTAACCATTTTTATGATCCCCCCAAAATAAGTACTTTCTTAATAAAAGCAAAAGTTCAAAATGCTTTTTCTTTTCCTCTTTGTTTACACGCCCATTATTTCTTTCAATTTGACATTGTCTGTATCCATAGCCAATTGTGTGGAAGTGTTACAATTTGTCTTTTGAATGTTTTTTTTAAACTTTGGCTTACTTTCTGGATTAATTCTAGATTAAATTCTGCCTCTTTCTTTGGCTTTGACCCTCACCTTCTGTACCTATGCCTTCATGAGTTTCAAATGAGTTCAGGTGTTAAGAATTATTATCTCTGTGGTATAAAGATGTGGCTTTATTTTTCAGGGATTTTCTGAATTTGAATTCTTCTAAAAATGCCTCCAGTAAGACATATAATAATGATAAATTTTAAAGGAATCTTATTTGAAATAATAGCAAAGTCCAGATTTGAAAAATTAAAAAAACAACAACCCAGCCTGTTAGTTAGAATATGTATGAACATTAAATAATGAAAATAAAATGTTTGCAGTGCCCAAGAAAATATTTCTTCCTCTTTTAGATAGGAGAACACACAGACTCTGAACCATACCAACAGGGTTTCTCTCTTCATCCTCCATTTTTTCAAGAAATTCTTGCAGAGAAGGGCCCACGTTTGCTGACCCACGCTGATGTGCCTCTTGTTCATTCTGACCTGTTTATTTTAAAATGAGGAAGTTAAGGAAGTAAACGTGAAGGTCTGAAACAGAAACCATTATGCAATCAAACCAAAAAGAAATATCTTAATAGCTGCTTCCAATTGCATGTGTAGCAAAGAAGGAACCCAAAAAGTGAAACAAAACAAAACAAAACAAAACAAAACAAAAAACATCATATAAAGGGATATTCAAGCTCAGTAGTGAAAAAAATAAAAAAATGTTTAATTACTTGATATGATTTATATTTCTCCCTCATTGGACTGAGAAACATCAGAGAGTTTAATAGAGTCAAGTGTTGTGCTCCCCACAAGTTGGCACCGTTCAGTGTTCTAATGAGGATAAAGGAACTGTATGCACTGCTGGTGTGAGTTTAGACTTACACAGCCATTTTAGTGATTCATTACCAATTCATTAGGATGATCAACCCATTAATTCTGCTCCTGGGTGTGTATGACAAGGGATTTTCACATGAGTCCACGACAGGACTTGTGTAAAGACGCTCTTCGTAATGTAGATGATTGTGGCAGTGTTGTAAAACAAATTTTAATGAATACAGTCCATAGAGTACTGTGTAGGATTCAGAAGCAATGGATTGGTATCCACTCATCAACATCAAGACATCTTAAAAACACAGTGCCAATTTAAAAAAAATAAGAAAAAGTTGAGAGTTCTATTACCATATCATTTACATTGATTAACACGACATGCAATACACATTGTTCAAGAATATCCAGGAACTAAAGGTCACTAACAAGGACAATAAAAAGGTCACGAGAGGCAGTGGAAAATGGGACTGGAGGTTGAGTATGAAATGGGAGTTCAAAATTTAAGGAAATAAATAATCTAAACAAAGTAGGAACTTTCGTTGAACCCATCCATCATTTTGTGTGCCATGAAATCAAGTTAATCATACTTAACTTGATGTTTATCAATGTTTTATGAGTGAAGTCCAAAAAAATCCCAAGCCAACCATTAAAAAAACAAATAAGCCTAACAGCAATTAAATCCAAAAGCAAGTAGATTAAAAAAAAATCTCATGACATTTCAGAGAATTTCATATTGTTCATTATGGCTATAACACAGGAAGATTGGACACAGTTTGAATATAGGATATTGGAGAGAAAATAATATTAACACTTAATAATGGTTTCCTATGATCCAGGTAGTTCTAAGTATTTTGTGGGAATTAATTAGTATAATCCTCACAATAAACCTTTGGGATAGATCTCATTATCCTCTTTATTTTACAGATGAAGAAAATGAGTCACAGAGAAGCAAAGTGACTCTCCAAACACAGCTGATGGTGGAACAACCATAGATTGAACCCAGATGGTTGAGCTCTGGAGCCCTCGCTCTTAAACCGTGTGCCATGCTGTTGTAGACATTCATCTAAGGAGTGTGTGGATCAATTCTCCCTTCAGAGCAAGATCAGAGAGCTTACCATCATCTGGACAGGGAGTGAGGGACCCAGTCAGGCTTTTATCCACAGGCTTCAGTTTGTGCAGTTGTTATCAGGAGCCCCCAAATGCTGGAACATAAGGGAAGGTAGGTTACCCTCAAAAGGCAGAGAAAATGCATAATCTTTAAAAAGAAAATTTTGTTGCAATAAATAGAAGAAAAGTTCAAAATCTTCCATTTAATGACCATAATAAAATTCAAGAATGATAAAAAAGAAATTAAAAGCAATTATCTAAAATTCTAAAAATATTTAAAATACTAAAAATTCCCATTGAAGTCATAAAGAGCATAACATCGCCAGTAGAAAAGAGAACCCCAGATAATTTTCAGGACCACGATACAGAGAAGAATTTTATAATCCTCCCAAATTTTCAAAGAAAATCAAACACACTTGAAAATAATGAGATAAAAAATAACTAAAATAAATTTAGAGAACTAAATGATGACAAGTAAAGTATTTGGTAAAGAGATACCCCAAAAGAAGAAAATACAGTTGCAAGAAAATACATTAAAGAAAATGCATTCTATAAAGTACAATGGAAATCACTTCCCATATTTCCCAAAAGGGCTCTCCAAGTTCCTAAAAAGGCTCTCCAAGTTCCAAATATAATGATGAGGAAATACCAAAAATAATATTTTTGAAATTAAAGGATAAAAGGAAAAGTCTATAAGGAATCAAGTTGATGGGATAAGGATGGGGTAGGTCAGGAGTGAGTAAACAGTTTATAATTGAATAAAAATCAGTCTGATATCTTCAAAGTAGATGTGAAAAGGTGATTTGCTCCTTTGGAAAAATCCACCAAAATGGACAAAACTAAAGAAGAACACTGAAGAAATATCTATTTGCAATGAACCATGAGTTAACCCCAAACCACACTTGGATTCTTGCAAAGCACACAGTCCAGTTTTATTGCCAGTAGAAAAGAGAACCCAAAATGATTTTCAGCTCCATGATGTCTGTTACTCACCCATGCAGATGACTGGATAGGTGGAGGTGTCAACAGGGCTAAGGGGTGAACTGATAACAGATACACGAATCAGATAAATCTGTGCTTGGAGCTCCTTGAACTGGAAATGTATTCTAGGCAATACAGGCATAATTTTTTGCGGGCACCCATGTTGCTCTGCTGTTATCAATGGAAGACAATTGTCCATCCCTTCCTTTTTGTGGGTTCCTCCTTTTTATGGGTCAGCCACATAAGTGCTAGGCTTGCAGGAAGACAGAGCCACCCTTCAGGCTGCAGCCAGCCAGACTGTCAGTTTCCAAGTGGGGGACAAGTCATCAGCAACTCTTTTTATAGACTGGTTTGCAGAGAGTATTCTAATTCTAGTCTAGAACCTATATAATGACAGAATTCAGGACATATCTAACAGTCATTAACTGATTCCTTCAAACCTAATGAAGGCAGCAGATCTCAGATATGACACTCTGTCTGGGAATGGTGGTATTAATGTGATTATCTATATGGTCATCTTAGTGCAAACCAAGAATGACTAGTCTATCTCCCAGAATGAGCTACATAATTGCTCAGTAAAAGGCATCCCTCATTTTTTCCCCATCAGGCAGAATAACAAAAAAAAAACTCCGAGGCTTATAGAGTATGAACGTCCATGCATTATAGTCGTTGAGAAAGAAAACATAAGATCTAACATTAGTTAACAAAACCTAACATTCTAAGAGGGGGAACTGGTCCAGGAAATATTCCAAGAGTAGTAGTTTGAGCTTGTGCTTGGAGCACAAGGCCAGTTGGCCAATAACATGTGGGTTTTCGGGGTAGTGGTCTCCTCCTTTGGGGCCACAATAAACAAGGATGGAAATCATATGGCTATTACTGTCTCTTCCCTTGTTTTACTAAGGAGGTTGCTCCTGGCTATTAGGTTCAAGGTCTAAAATCCTAATCTTACCCAGAGGGCAGAAGCAAAGCCATGACTACGCTGCCTCCTGCTAGTACTCAGGAGGCAATGCAAAAGGGAAGATCACGCACTCAAGGCTTTGCGGACGGGGCACTGCCAGAGAGGGCGCCTCATCATAGCTGATTTCAGGGCAATACTTTGCCGAGGCTACTTAAGTCTGAAAGGCGAGGATTGAATTGAAGAGATCATGGTAGGCAGAAAAATGGTCCCATTCTAACTCTGGAACTTGTAAATATATTACATTATACGGCAAAGGAGCATTAAGGTAGCAGATGGGAGTGAGGGAGCTAAGCAACTGGCTGTAAATCAGGGAGGTAATCCTGGATCCTCTCAGCAGACCCAGTATAATCACAAGGGTCCTTAAAAAATGCAAGAGGGAGGCAGGCAGAAGAGGGGGTTAGAGTGACAGGATGTTATAAGGATTCAGCCCATTGCTGGCTTTGAGGATGGACGGAAAAGGGCAGCCTCTAGAAGCTGTCAAGGCCAGAAAACAGAATTGTTCCTACACCCTTCAGAAAGGAACACAGACAGCCTTGCCAACACCTTGATTTCAGTCTTGCGAGACCCACATCACACTTCTTACCTCCCAAACTGGAGATGATAAGTCTGTTTTGTTTTAAGCCATCAAGTGTATGGTCATTTGTCACAGCAGCAACAGGAAACTAACACAGGAGTCTGAGAACATGAGGTCTGGGAACGAGATGGAAAAAAATCTGAATGGCATCTCTGACAAGCGTTTTAGGACAGAAATCGTTGCTGGAGGTTCCTTCTATGATGTGCCCAGTCGTGCAACACAGGAGGGCAGGGATTTATGTTTAAAAATTGTCCAGGAATGAACAAAACGGATTCAGAAGCTATGTGGACGAGCTCCTGATAACCGTGCGTCAGAACAGGCTGGGACAGCCTGGGTGACTTGCCGAAAACCAACTGCAACGGTTCCGATTCGGAAATCAATGCCGTGGCAAACTGCGGCATCGGAAAGGGTTAACCATATTGCCTGAGTGCCGACTCTTTTTTCTTTGTGTGGATTAGTACACGAGCTGGAAATTATTTATGAATAAAGAATCGTTAACATGACCTAATTGTCATAATTGTGGCTATTTGTTTCTAACTGTTAAGACTGATTGTTTTTTTTCCCCCACTGCACATCCTGATGTGAAGACCAGGAAAAATTTACTATTCGCCATAGAAGCACAAAACATTTTAACTAGCTTAAATTGCTCTGAATTGGAAATTGTATGATTTAGAAATCATAACTTGGGCTATAAAAATACAGTCATTTCCTGTCAGACAAAATTCCTGGTATTTAGAGAACAAATAAATACATTACACAACAAATTAGATAAAAATTCTTACATATTCAGTATGATAAACAAAGTCAGTGAAAATATCTCCCTAAATTTTCCTGATGAAAATGCTCTCATCTATGTAACATGACTAACAATTGTCACCCCAATAAACTTTAATTTAAAATAAAAAAAAGAAAGAAAATATTCTCAAGCCAACTAAAACAATTCAAAACTCAGAAAATCGTGGATTCCTCTTACCCCAATGCTTACAAATCCTCTGGTAGTAAAATTGAAAACAAACAGAAAAGAAGAAGTCATTCTAATAACGTGGCAAACAGCTCATACTTGCAAAGAGGCAATATAGTTACATTGCTTTCAATTTGTCCAACAGCCTAGCAGGTAATATGTGCTATTTGTCCAAATATGCTTTAGTCATGGGGTAAAAATAGAGAAAAAAAAATCTTAGTTCTCCAACTGGTTCTTTAGCTATACATCATAAAATACTCCGATGATTGGAAAAATCAAAACAGTTCATTAATAACTTACTGTTAATAGCATTTAATAGTTTCCGTCCAAATGGTTGGCATTTCCTATTTGAAGTCGTACGTTACATTTCCAAATGCAAACGAACCACAATTTTAGAGGTTAACTTACTCACAAGGAAGCTGGAACCAGAATCTAGAAACAGTTCATCCACAGGTCTCTCTGCAGGCCCTGGAAAAGAACTCACATTCTTTCTCAGTCACTACTGCATCATGCTTTTAATTTCATGTTTACGGTGAATAGTTCCGCTTTTGACTGATTTCTGAAAAGGATTATGGTCTTAATTCAGCCCCGCTGCCAAAAACCTCTCTGCTCACATCACATGGTGACTTCTTTACACTTTTCCATTTCTTTGTCTCCCCGCCAGTTCCTCAGCAGGGAGTGTGTGGCTGCAGATGGCTGGCTGGACACAGCAAAACATTCGGAACTATCAAACCAGAAAGAATTTTGTCTTTCTCAACTAGCTTTTTCATACAAGGCCCAACTGAAAGCGTTGATTTCCCAAACCAGTTTTTGAAGGAAATATAAGAGTTCAGGGAAGAACAGAGAAGAGAGGCATGTGTGTGTGTGTGTTGGGGGACCAGGGGGGTTGTGTGTGCGTGGGGGCAGTTAAAAAAAACCAAAAACGATACCCAAAGTATACCAATCAGGTCAGAAAGTGACTCAAAACCTTCCACAGAAATTTAATTCTTAAAATCTGGATCTAGAAATATGGCAATGAAGCAATGCAATTTTTTTCAGGGCAGCAAAATGAGCTGCATTTCCCTCTGCATCCCACTGCATTGCATGCACACTCATGCTGCGTGCAGTGTCTTTCTTGGAGAGCGAAATAAGAGCATCTTGAGAGCAGTGTCATATGAAAACCACTCCCAAGACCTACGTTGTTCTGTCTGCAACAAGTCCCAGAAAACAAACTACTTTCTCTGTAAGCAACACTGGGTTTTAGTATGTCCTGGTTTCCACAGTGGGTGAGAAACATTTTTAACAGGTAAGAGCGGCCATTTTACCTTTTTTGAGCATTTCGGGTAAATGGAAGACAAGGCAGTTCCAAAGCGTCTTGTCATCGTGAAGCTGTCTTTAGCTGTCGGTCTATAAGTCTAAGGTTTCTGCGCTGTGATTATTTCCTGAACACACAACTAAAGGGGAAACGGTGTGCTAGGCATGCACTTCTTAAGTCAGACAGGCTCGTCTGTGTCCCATTGTCCATGCAGATCGCATGAAGTTTTCTTTACCTACGTCCCATTCCCTCAATACTTATTCAATTATGTTTACTCTTTGGTTAATTATATGGGTCCAGAAATGGCTCACGCAAGCGAAGTGGAAGCAGACTGAACTCATTAATGTGTGAGGCTGTCAAACTTAAAAAAAAAAAAAAAAGACTTCTGATTGTTTCTGTATGTCTCTTTTCTGTAGAACACACAAAATTATAACATTTAACATCGCCAGCACTTTGTACCCAGGGAATATAATTGAGGACATTTTTTTCAGTAACTCTTTTTCCTAGAACTTTGTATCTAGGATACAGCTGATGTGTTCTGGCCCCAGATGGCTTCTGGGCTCTGTTCTTTTTCTTCCATGTGTTGGCCTTTTCCTTCACGTGTATCAATCACTGTGATTTCTGCAGCACTCGGACAGAGCAAGCCCAGCCTCATTAACCTCTGTCAACATTTTCTTGATCAAGTCATAGGTCTTCACTCTTCTAAATAAGCTTTAGTATCAGCCTACCAATTAAAAATAAATAGCCTTTTTGGGATTCCAAAAGTGGAAGGTACTGATTTTACAGTATAATGTACTTACTTAGCAGCCACGTATGGCACTTACTATATGCAAGGCACAGTGAAATAGTAACACATTTAATTTATGTAACAATCTCATGGAGTAAGCGCTGTTGTCATCACCCCCATTTTACAGATGAGAAAAGTGAGGTCTAGAGAGTTGAAGTACCTTGTCCAGGTTCATACAGCTGGTGAGGAGCAGAACCTGGGTTAAAACCCAGACCATCTCCAGTCTGGGAACTCAAAGGACAAATGCTATGCTGTCTCTCGGTGTGTGTCTCTGTTCATTCAATGAGTCTTACTTTGGACACACACATTTACAATTCTCCTGGCCGTCGCTTCATACATTTTGCAACAGTATCCTCGTGCCAGAAGCCATGTAGATTTCATGTGAAGGAATTTGGTATCAGGCTAAAACATTCCTCTCGGATTCTTTCCTGGCTACTTGTACCCAGTCCTTGGAACTGTGGGACCTGTGTGTAGCCCTCATTCTGGGTGAGCAAACACTGAAAAACCTGATTTGCAAAGAGAGAAGAATGAAGTGGCCCACGGCCTGATAAAGAGAGAGGCTGAGAATGTCTGCTTATTGCCCAGGGACTTTTCTGTTCTTGTTTTTCGTCCTTCTGCAGACCCAGCTGCACAGCCTGCGTTTGGGTTTTGTCAGACACTTTCCAAAAATTTGTTTCTTAAAAATATAATGAACATTCTCCTTGGTTCTGTTTTGTGGGGGGTAGGTAACCTTGAAACATCCTTTGTATGATAAACATTGTTATGTGTAGTTGCATTTCTCAGGTATATTTTTGGCCTACCTCTATTCTCTGCTTATTGGATGCCACTTGAAACAGCAGAATTTTTTTCTTTTTGCCTAGTCTGCAAATCTTTAACTTTCCACGAGGGGCTGTAGGTCCCTAGGATAACCCATTTTGTCCAGTCATCTGATTTTATAGTTTCTAAATTAAGCTTTCCTGTGGATTTTCCATTTCTCCATTGATCGTGGTTTTTCTCTGTTCCTTTTTTTTAAGGTTCCCCAAGCCCTTTTCTTCTCCTTTCATCTGCAAAGGTCAGAGTAAGAGCTTCCTGGTATTTTGTTCTACTGGTGATGACCCTTAAATGTTGACAGACATATGTGAATGCCCGTTACCCTGGCAATGTGGAAAAAAAAAAGCAGCCTATATCTCAACCTATCTTCCCTCCGTGACCTGCTATATATGTGCCTCCATCCTTCCCATTACACGTTAAGCCTTTCAGTATATTTGACCTTGAAACCTGTACTCCTTACTAGGTCTGCAATGCTGGGTAAGTGAGCTATCTTGGAAGCCTCAGTTTTCTCACCTGTAGGATAGAGTCTCCAACAGGGTCATTCAGGATTTAAAAATGTAGGATTTGGGAGTAGGGTAGGGATTTAACAAAATAACACAGGTAAAGTATTTAGCACAGTACCTAGCAATGAGTGAGCATTCGATAAATGCTAGCGATTATATTCTTGCCCAAACGGGAAACTACAGGTATTTTAAAAAATTACTAACCTGATTGATAAATAAAAAAACAAAACCCCCAAAAACTACCACCTTAATTACTTAACATACCTTGCTTTGGTTACTTGTAACGTCAAGCAAATTTTAATATAATTTTTGGCCATTTGTAAATTATCTAACAAAGCTGTCCATTTTCTCCACCTATGTTACTCTGTCATTCTGGGTTTTTTTGTTTTTCTGACCCTGACTGAAAATGTCTTAAATCATTCACTTGAAAAATAGCTATGTTACTGCCTTCTCACAGCTAGTTTTGCTGAGAAGAATGCTTAACATAATATTGATTCTTGTTAATTTGTATTTTCTTTTTTCTCACTAGAATATTTTAGGATTTTCTCTTTAACCACAAGTATATGAAATCTTGTGATAAGGGACTTAGGTGTAGCTTTCTTTTTTTGTTTTTCTTTGATCTGCATGGCACTTTGTGGTCACTTGAAATAAAAAAACTTGTGTTTTTTGGTTTTTGGTTTTTAGTCCTGGGAAATTTTCAGCTAATACTTTGGTCAAATATTGCCCTCCTTCTGGTCTTTCTATTCTTTTTTTTTTTCTGGAAGTTTATTAGATACTTGAAATCTATTATCCCCATCCATCTTTTATCCTATCTACCATCTTGAAGCTTGAAAGCAATCCATTTTCACGCCACATGTAAACCATCTTTGCAACATACAATTTTTATAGTGTCACTCTAATTGGAACCGCCTCAATATCTTGGTTTCTCTGCAGAAATACACACGACTTTTTATCATCTGGTCCCTGGTTCTCTCTCCACCCTTCCTTTGCCTTGACTCCTCTCCAACTCCAGTTATATGTAGACATGATTACTCTTTTTAAAGGACGGTGCCACACTCGCATTTCCTTCTATTTGCTCTGTGGCTACGAACCTTCCTCTCAGTTGGCTTCTCATAATGTCTACCTCTATCTACCTAATTCTTACTTGTCCTTCAGGTCTCAGGCTGACCTCTCCCCACAAGGAGCCTTCCTAGCCTGCCTTCCTGTGGGTCAGGTGTGCCTTCCGGGATCTCCCATGGCACACCATGGTTACTGCTGGTGTAGTGCTTACCTCACCAGATGTTAAAGGAATTCTCATTTCTCTCCCACCAGAGACTGTAAACTGCTGATGAGGAACCTTCACTGCTGTACACGTCACAGAGTCTGGGGCATGAAAGTGGTTCAATACACATATGTTGAGTTTTAAATGTATAATGTTGAATGTGAGGTAGGGAAGAAAAAACAACATTATCATTTTTTTTTTCCCTAGAAACCTGGTTATGCATGAAAGGTCTTGTTTGGGTTGTAGCCAACATGAGTTGTTTTGGTCAAGTGTAGGTTTTTGTTTGTTTTTTAAAATGGTTTTTAGAAGAGGAAGGAAAAGGGAACTAACAAAAATACAGGAGAAATTAAGTAATTAAGACATTAAGTAACAGATGAGACATTGGGGTATAAGAAGGGGTCAGATCAGAACAAATAGGAGAAGATAACCTTGAAAAGGAGAAGGGAGAATTTCTTTCTCATAAGAAAAAAAGGAAGTGAAAGGACTGAGGGCATTTTAAAATCTGATACCATGAGGTGGAGATCTCATCCCTGAGGGCTAAGATACTTTCAGGTGGAGGAGGAAGCAAATTCTAAGAATAGACCAACAGGTGTTGGTGAGATAGGAGGGTCAGCTGCTGGAGCCTGATAATTTCCCCCAAGAACATCCACCCTAGGGTACCACCTACGGACATCAAGGAGCCTTGGGAGGAGGAGAACCACAAAAACCAGCTTCCCAGCAACAAGCGACTGTCCCTATCACCGCACATGCGCAGTAAGGCCCCAAACCGTTCCTAAGGTGACTTTTCGCTAATTTACATATTAAAAATCATGCTAATAAGACATGGGACACATGAAGAAGCATGCAGTCTCAGTGTGCAGACGCCACATGCCTAGACCTAACTTTTACCCCGCTTAGCTCCCTTTAAAACCCTGCCCCAACTTCTCTTAACCCCCCCCCGCAACCTTTCCTAGCTCTGTGTTGCTTCCCTTGTGCACAAGCTTATTAAACCTTTGCCTCTTGCCTGAGTTTTCTTGTGGTGTTGG